AAAAAAAAAAAAAAATGTATAACACAATTAGGTACAGTACAAATAACTACGTTACTGGTTTATGTGTAAGCATATCTCAGGGATATTGCTGGTTCAGCTCCAGGCCACCAATAAAGCAAATACGCAATAAGGCAAGGCGCACAAATTTTTTTGGTTTCTCAGTACATATAAAAGTTATGTTGGCCAGGCATGGTGGCTCATGCCTATAATCCCAGCACTTTGGGAGGCCAAGGCAGGTGAATCACTTGGGGTCAGGAGTTCAAAACCAGCCTGGCCAACATGGGGGAACCCCGTCTCTACTAAATATACAAAAATTAGCCGGGTGTGATGGTGCACACCTGTGCTAGAACCCAGGAGGTGGAGGTTGCAGTGAGCTGAGATCGTGCCACTGCACTCCAGCCTGGGCGATAGAGACTCCATCTCAAAAAAAATGTTCTGTTTACACTATACTGTAGTCTATTAAGTGTGTAATAACATTATGTCTAGTAAACAATGTACATACCTTAATCAAAACTACTTTATTGCTAAAACATGCTAACAACCATCAGACACTTCAGAGAGTTGTAATCTTTTTCCAAGACCCACCAGCGGGGTCTTGCCTTGATGCTCATGGCTGCTAACTGACCAGGGTGATGTCTGCTGAAGGTTGAACTGGCTGTGGCAATTTCTCAAAATAAGACAACAATGAAGTTTGCCACATCGTTTCATTCTTTCTTTGACAAAAGATTTCTCTGTGATGGATGCTGTTTGATAGCATTTTACCCACAGCAGAACTTTCAGACTGGAACCAACCCTCTCAAATTCTGCATCTGCTTTATCAATTAAGTTTATGTAATATTCTAAATCCTTCATTACCATTTCACCAATGTGCACGGCATCTTCACCAGGAGTAGATTCCATCAAGAAACCACTTTCTTTGGTCATCCCTAACATCTCCTCATCCATTCAAGTTTTAACATGAGACTGCAGCAATTCAGTCACAGCTGTAGACTCCATTCGGATTCTAGTTCTGTTACGATTTCCTCCACATCTGTAGTTACTCCCTCCACTGAAGTCTTCAGTCCCTCAAAGTCATCCATGAGGGTTGAAGGGTTGGAATCAATTTCTTCCAAACTCCTCTTTATGTTAATAGTTTAACCTCCTCCCATGAATCACAAATGCTTTTAAGGGCATGTAGAATGGTGAATCCTTTCCAGATTTTCAATTTACTTTGTCCAGATCCATCAAAGGAATCACTATCCATGGCAGCTATAACTTTATAAAACATATTTCTTAAGTAATACGACTTGAAAGTCAGAATTACTCCTTGATCCATAAGCTGAAGATTGGATGTTAGCAGGCATGAAACATCTGCATCTGAGCTTTAGGGTAATGAGGTACACTGTGATATTTTGAAAGGACTCTATTTTTCTGAACAGTACCTTTTAATGGTGGGCTTAAAAAACATTCAGTAAACCATGCTGTAAACAGACGTGTTGTCATCCAGACTTTGTTGTTCTATTTACAGAGCACGGGCAGAGTAGATTTAGCCCTGCATTCTTAAGGGCGCTACAATTTTCAGAATGCTAAATGAGTTTTGGCTTCAATGTAAAATCACCAGCTGCATGAGTCCCTAACAAGGGAATCACTCTGATCTTTGCAGCTTGGACACCAGGCATCGACTTCTCTCTAGCTGTGGAAGTTCTAGATATCACCTTCTTCCAATAGAAGGCTATTCCATCTACACTGAAAATCTTTTGAGTGTAGCCCCCGTCAATGATCTCAGCTAGGTCTTCCAAATAACTTACTGCAGCTTCTACATCAGCATCTGCTGCTTCACCGTGCACTTTTCTGTTATGGAGATGGCTTCTTTCCTTAAACCTCATGAACCAACCTCTCTGTTAGCTTCAGACTTTTCTTTCAGCCTTCATAGAATTCAAGAGTTAGGATCTTGGTCTGGATTACGGTTTGGCTTAAGAGAATGTTGTGGCTGGTTTGATCTATCCAGACCACTGAAACTTTCTCCGTATCAGCAATAAGGTTGTTCTGCTTTCTTATCATTCGTGTGTTTACTGGAGTAGCACTCTTAATTTCCTTCAAGAATTTTCCTTTGCTTTCATAACTTGACTAACATTTGGCGTTAAGAGGCCTAGCTTTTAGCCTATTTGGCTTTTTGCATGCCTTCCTCACTAAGCTCAATCATTTCTAGCTTTGAGTTTTAAGTAAGAAACATGGGACACTTTCTTTCACTTGAACACAGAGAGACCATAATACGGTTATTAACTGGCCTAGTTTCAATATTGTTGTGTCAAAGAGGACAGGGAGGTCTGAGAGGGAGAGAGATGGGGAACGGCTGGTGGGTGGAGTGGTCAGAACACACACACCATTTCATTTATCGATTAAATTTAGTATCTTATATGGGCACATTTCATGGTGCCCCCCCAACAATTACAATAGCGACATCAAAGATCATTAATCAGAGATCACCATAACAGACACAATAAATCATGAAGTTTGAAATACTGTGAGAATTACCAAAATTTGACACAGACACAAAGTGAACACATGTTGTTGGAAAAACGGCACTGACAGACTTGCTTGGGGCAAGGTTGCCAAAAACCTTCAATTTATAAAAAGCAAAGTATCCACAAAGTACAATAAAGCTAAATGCAATAAGACAAGGTATGCCTATCCTATACTTTTTTGGGTATTATTTTAAGTATACTCTTTCCACTTATAAAAAAAAGTTAATTGTAAAATAGCATCATGCAGGCCCTTTCAGGAGGTATCTGAGAAGAAGGCATTATCATCCATAGGAGATGACAGGTTTACGTGTGTTAGTGCCCCGGAAGACCTTCCAGTGGGACAAGATGTGGAGGTAGAAGACAGTGATGTTGGTGCTATGGTTAGGCTTCGTGCCCCGACCCAAATCTCATCTTGAATTGTAGTGCCCGTAATCCCCACGTGTTGTGGGAGGGAGCCAGTGGGAAGTAATTGAATCATGGGGGTGGTTACCCCCATGCTGTTCTCATGATAGTGAGTTCTCACGAGATCTGATGGTTTTATGAGGGGCTTTACCCCCTTTGCTCAGCATTTGTCTCTCCTGTCACCATGTGAAGAAAGATGTGTTTGCTTTCCCTTCTGCTATGACGTAAGTTTCCTGAGGCCTCCCCAGTCACTGGGAGTCAATTAAACCTCTTTCGCTTATAAATTACCCAGGCAGTTCTTCACAGCAGTGTGAGAACGGACTAACACAGTTGGTGATCCTGATCCTGTGTAGGTCTAGGGTAATGTGTGCTTGTGTCTTAGTTTTTAACAAGAAAAGTTTAAAAAGTAAAAAATAAAAATTAAAAAAATTAGAAAACAGAAAAAAGCTTATAGAATAAGGATGTAGAGAGACAATATTTTTGTACAGCTGTACAATGTGTTTTTGTTTTAAGCTAAATGTTATTACAAAATAATCCATTTTTTTAAGTTTATAAAGTAAAAGTCAGTTAAGGCTTATTACTGAAGAAAAAGCTGTTTATGAATTTAGTAAAACCTAAATGCACTGTGTTTATGAAGTCTACAGCAGCGTACAGTAATGTCCTAGGCCTTCACATTCACTCACAACTCACTCACTGAACGCAACTTCCAGTCCTGCAAGCTCCATTCATGGCAAGCAATATACCAGTGTACCATTTTTTAAAAATCTCTTCTACCTTATTTTTACTGAACCTTTTCTATGTTTAGATTGGTTTAGATACACATATACTCACCACTGTGTTATAACTGTACTCACTACATGTAATATGCTGTACCGGTTTGCAGCCCAGGAGCAGTAATAGACTACACTAAGGTTATAGCAACAGCCTTGGTGTGTAGCAGGCTACACCATTCAGATACGTGTGAGTTCACCCTACAATGGTCACACATGACGAAATCACCTAACAAGAGATTTCTCAGAACATATCCCCATTATTAAGGGATATATAGACTGCATAAGCTTCAGTCATCTGACCTTTCTGTAGGTCTAATATAATGTGGGCCTCCCATGCATATGCACGTCATTAAAATGGCTTTCCTCCTGTCACTCTGCCTAATGTTCATTGATTTTAGATTCAGTTATCAAACCTTCAGAGGGAGGAGTTTTCTCTCCCTTCAGTAACCTGCCCAATGCCACAGGGCATGAAGTGGCAGAGCGACTACTAGCATCCACTGCCACGCAGTCTGACTCAGTCTGCTTCCTTAGCCATAAAGCTCTGCCTCAGGTGGTAACCGAAAGCTGCTTAGGTAAATTCACGCAAGTCCTAGAAATTCCTAACCCAGTGAGGCTTCCCTCCGGGCCTGGGCACCTAGAGACCCCAGGAGCCCAGGACCAGCCTCTACCTGTAAAGTGAAGAATCTCCGTCCATTGTTTGCAGATGTAGATCTGGACATCCGTGCCCCCAAGGGCTAGGTAGGTACCACTCTGGTCGAAGATCAGTGACTTTACCTGCCAGAAACAGAAAGAGAGAAGGTCACACAAGGGGAACAGAAACTATGGGGCAATTGCGGATAAGCAGAAGCAATTAGATTAATTCAATAAATAATCGACAAACAAGGAGACACAATGGAAAGCTGGGTGGGGCGGGGGAAGGGCATACCTCGAAGTTGTTATCCAGCTGCAATGTCTTAAAGTTCTTAAGCTTGCGCAGATCCCATAGCTTGACAGAGGAGTCATCAGCCGCTGTAGCCAGGTAGTAACCATTCTCAGAGAAGGCGATGCTAGTGATGGGGCCCGAGTGGCCAGGGAAGTTGGCCACATTAGTACGTTCCTACAGTGGTGGTGGGTAGTAAAACACGTCACCCACAGATCATGAGAGGAAGAAAATGGAGCTCACCAAACCCCTACCTGAGATGTCCCTCACTGTCCTTCCAGGAAGGCCAGCCAGCGGGACCCCCCCAGACCACACCATCGTATCACACAGGCATAGCCAGCGATGGCCCCTTCAGTGCCAGGTGCCACAAGCACCTCATCAGCACCACGTTGTCACAAACACCCGCTCCGGCCCTGGACCTCAGATGGAGGCCCACCATGTCCTACCTTCAAGTCCCAGATCTTGATCTGAGAGTCCATGGTTCCTGTGCCAAAGATGAGTCCATCAGGGTGGAACTGTGCACAGGTGAGAGCTGTGGAGGAGGAAGACAGACCTGTGGTCAGAGCCCACCAGGGAGAGACTAAGAGCAGCAAAATTAGGTTTCTTGTTCTTCACGGTCCTCAGTGCACCCAGCACAAAGCCTGCACTAGGCAGGTGCTGATGGTAAATGTATCTTTAGAACAAATAAGCAAACGACTAAATAAAATGTAAAAGTAAATAATAAATAGCAAACAAAAAGGCTGAGCGCCTACGAGGCAACTTACAGCAGCCAGAGGTCTCATCTGTCACCTTGGTGAGCACACGCCCTGTCTGGATGTCAGAGAAAGCCCAGTACTGGGGGGAAAAAAAAAGAGAGAGAGAGAATGGAGTCAGTGAGAAAGTGGGTCCCAGGCTTTGGTGGCCTTTCAGGTAGACAGAGCCCCTGGTCTGGTAAACCCTGGCAAACCTAGCACCTCCCAGCAGAGATGAAACATTCTCCTTTGAGGTTCTGGGGAACCAGCTGGGGTGGGAAGATGTTCCCGCCACCCAGGATGTTCAAGCTTGGGGACCAGCAGGCCTCTCCAGGGCACTGGCTGGGACCGCACCTGATCATCGGAGGAGCTCAGGAGATAGTCACCAGTGGCGTGCAGGCTGAGGCCTGTCACAGCACTCTCATGGGCCCGAACCACCTGTACACAAGAGGCATTGGGGACCGACCAAATCCTGATAGTGGCATCGGGGGAAGCAGAAAACACCAGGTCCTACAAGGAAAACAAAGACAGAGTATCAGAGCCAGAGAAGAGACACAGATCAAAACAATGTTATAAAAGGGGGCAGGGGATGCCCAAAACTACCAACAATTGCTTCACCTTTCAGCCCTGCCCTCCCTGGAACCACCTACCCACCCAATGGTGCCCACGACAGCCAATGGTAAACGCTATTAAAGTCATAACTCATGCAGCATCAGGGCTTGTGGAGGCGTCCTCGCCATCTAGTGGTAAAAAGGCTAACTGCAACAGAGAGCAATTTTCCCATTTCCAGGACCAAAGGAAGAATGTAGCTAGTACAATTGAGGGACTGAATTTTTTATTCTATTTCATTGAAATTTAAGTAGCCACATGTAGCTAATTGCTACTGTACTGTATGGCACAGGTCTGGGCAGTACTGGGACTCGAAGGGGCTGCATGGCTACATTTCAGGGCATCCCACATTTATGGATTTCCAGGGTAAGTGAGTTTTCCAAAAGATTTGGGGCAGGGAGAGAATTTCGTGTCACTCACCAATTTTTTGTTTAGTTAGGATATTAAAAGCCACAAGGCAAAAATAACTACCATCTTTATCAATACAATTTCATGAGACCTAACTATTAATACCCCATAAGCAAGAAAACAGTGCTCTCGATTTGAGTAATTTAGTCATGAAAAGTTCACCATGTCATTCTTATATTTCTCATTTCCCTAAGGTCCAAGGGAAAGCTCGACTGGGAAGCGCTAAACCAACCACTGTCCTGCAGCCCCAAACCCAAACTGTCTTAGGCTTGAAATTCGAATCCCATAATATCATTAATCCAGTCCCATGAGTTACCTTTACCCTATAAACCAGAGGTTCTATTTACAACCCACACCACTTTCAATAGTCAACATGACTTTTACCCATCTCGGAGGGTCATGAGAAAGCAAATACATCTGTCTTCCTCATACCTGTGGGTTGAGATTGAGTTGAGCTTTGTTTTCTGTAGTTTATATGACGAACACTGTAAGATTTTTTCTTTCCCTAATATAAAACTTTTCAATGAATATGCTTGTCAAACTACACATTTCCCTTCTCTCCCTGGCTGGAAGACCACTGCTTTAGAAGGTCTCACGCAGAGTGAAGGGCAATCTCCACAACTCCAAAGTGAAGCCCTTCCAAGTGCCCACTCAGGAGTCAGCGCTCTTTCTCAGCCCCACTTCACAGAGACAGCAGGGGGGTGAGGGATAAACAACAGCCAAGGAAAGAAGAACCAAAGGTGGCAAGAACCCCTTACCTGGGAAGGGTGAAACACCACGCTGGTGACCTTCTTGGTATGGCCTTTGAGGGTAGCCAGGATTTGTTCCGAACTTTTGTCAAACACAACGACATTTTTATCTGCCCCACCTGGAGAAGACCCAAAGAGACCATACAATGAGTCAGGCCCACCCAGGCCCTTTTGCTGAAGGAAATGCTTTTGTCCCCATGCCCATGAAGAGGACAAGGCGCATGCAAATTCCCCGCTGCCCCTCCCCACCTTGGCCTGCTGGGCTAGGCCCAGACTCTCACCAGTGAGGATCTTGTTAGTGTCAGACGGGCAGAGGTCCAGGGCCAGGATCCCAGGAATGCTGGCACTGTGCAACCCCTTTGCAGAGAGACACACCAAACCCTGTCACAGCCAAATCACAGCAGGCCACAAAGCCACAGGTCTCCCCTACTGCCATCCCCAGTCACCCATGTTCTCAGGGGAGCAAGAGTTACTTCTACTCCTTATCCATATCTCTTGGCTATCTGCCTGGTGCGGTAACTCCTTCACTGCATCACTGGGGAAACCCACAACTGGGCAGGAAGAGGAGCCCTGACAGCTCAGCAGCCCAGGCAAGAAACAGCGCCAGGAACAGTGCCAGGAGCCCGGGACAGCTCTGTACTCAGCACTCCCCATGCTGGCCCGCCCACCCCAGACACAAAACAGGAGGGCTGTCTCCAAGACAGTGAAGACCCAGACACTCACCACGTGGGACGCCACCTGCCGGTATTTGCTGAGCTCTTCTGGCTTCACCAGCTCCTCAGGCACAGTCTTCCCTCTCTGAGAAAATGAAAAAGCCCCCAAAGTAGAGCAGCAATGAATCCAAGATCAGCCAGCCCCCTTTCTCCTAAGGGGTCAACTGCCTCCCACCAGGCCAGCTCTTTCTCCTGGCTTCAAAAGAGAACTCACCTTCTTGCGCTCCGTGGTTAGCACAGTGGCTTTGTCTTGAAGCTGGGGAAGAATAGGCTCAATGTGAGACAAATTATCTTGCAAGGAGAAAAGCACATTGGATGCTGGTCACATCTGTGCTTTCACAAGCAACACCCAGAACTTGCTATCTGCCAATTTCTACATTACAGGCTTAAAGGCATTCTCTCTTCTTACTTCCATCCCAGCTTTATAAGCGGGACGTTGATGACCTTGTTTTACAGCTGAGGACACTGAGCCTCAGAGAAGTGAAGTCAATTGCCCAAGGTTGCAGAGGTGATAAATAGCAGAGCAGGAATAGAGGCCAGGACTGTAGAGCTCCCATAGGTCTACATGCCACTCAGCCAAGGGCTCAGACACATGCTGACAATTTGAACTGCTCAGAAAGACACTAAAAAGCCCTGCAAATGAGAATCCCACTGGACTTGCAATCAGGAGCCCAGCTCTGCCTCTGATGTGTCTTTCATCTGTATAATAAGGATTATAATTCCTGTCCTATTGCCCTCATAGAAAAAAAGCAAGAAAATATATAAAAGTAGTTTACTATCTGCAAATAATACCCAAAACAATAAGGGCTAAAAGGTGCACTTATCAGTAATTAAATCGTTTAGATTCCCACATCAAGCCTATAAAGTGGATATTATTATATTCTCAGTTTAGAAGCTACAGAAATGAGACTTGGAAATCGGCTAAGGAAGCCAAGGTCATGTAGCTTACAAGTAGTGGCATCAAAATACAAACCCAGGCAATCTGGGCCCAGAATCCACGCTCTGCACCACTCAACTCCCAAAAGCATAGCGATTTTAGTCACGATGGACTCCAGACAGATGGGGAAAAGTAAGAGCCCATCAGCACTCCCACCAGGTGAGAGCAGGACTTACCTTCTGAATAATCTCTGGGGTCATTCCCACCAGCTCACCCAAATCCATTGGCTCGCCCGCACCCTGAAGAGAAGAAAGGTGAGGGTGAGGGGCACAGAGCACCAAAGACACCTACATAAGGACAGCTCTGTGGGCCACTGCACACAAATGGGCTGTGGTAAGGGAAGGGGGACACTTACTACAACACTTGGTTGGGAACTTGGCACAGCCTGGGGCACAATGAGACCAGCCTGTGGTTTCAGGGTAGCCAGAGCTGAGAGAAAAGACGATGTTAGAAATGGGATATTACAAAGCAGAACCAGCCCAGGGTGGGGGATGGCAGGGGGCAGGCTGCACCTTCTCGGGCAGCAGTGACTTCCTTGGTGAGACGGGCAATGACACGGCAGGCGGCATCGTGCTGGTACAGAGCGTGCGACAACTCTTGGCGGGTTGTCTGCAGCTGCTGGCGCAGAGTGAAGCTGTGCAGCATGACTGCATCCTGGGAGAGGCAAATATTACTGTGAGCTGAGGCGGGGGGCGCAGGGAGCACCCAGTGGAGCCAGCTCTTGGGGAGGGGCTGCTGCTTCCTATCCCACAGCCTAGACCAGTATCAGTGACTCAAACAATATCCGGGCACCATGAATGTGCCAGCAGACACTCTTGAGCTCCTACCCCAAGCCAAACACTGGGCACACAGACAGGAGTGGGAGTCAGCTCTTTCCCATCCCCACCTTCCCTAATTTACTGGCAAATTCCAGCTGTCATGCCGTCACCTCTCTAAAAGAGGGTAACAACACTGCTGCTGCTGCTATTTATTGATTGCCCTCTTTGTGTCAGGCACTGTGCCAGACAGTCCTGCAGGATGCATTCAATCATTCAGTTCGTAATTCTAGAGCACCTACTACGTACCAGGCGCTGCTCTCAGTGCTGGGGATACAACAAAGAATAAAACAAAACCCTGATGTCACAAAACCCTGATGATGATTATCCAAATAATGCTCCATCCTTCCCACCCCCAAGTCCTAACTCAGCGATGCATTCTCTTCAAGTGGGGAAGATGCTGATTCTCTTGCAGGAACTCACCCACTCATCCTGCAAGGCTTTCAGAATGGCCGGGATGCTGGTGGCTGAGGGAGGCTTGGGCCGGATGGGGTGAGCAACTGCCGAAAGGGAAAGTAGGTATGAAGAGCATAACCCAGGGACCTCCCCTGCCATCACATCTTTTCCTTTTAGCCATAAACAGTCCACCATCTCCTCCTCCAGTGCACTGGCACCACCTCCCATCCTCTCAGGCTCTGAGCTAAGATGGCCCTAGACTAAGGCAGCCAATAGGCACCTTTGATGTCGATGAGCTGCTCCTCGGAGAGAGGCTGGTTGTTGATGGGGTCGGTACCATTCTCTGCAATGTACTTCTCAATGAGCCGCCGCTCATAAACATGATTAGAGACAGGGGACACACATGGGTGCTCCGGCACTTCATTAGAGACTGTAGAGAAAAGGCCGGCAGTGAGCTTGGAGTGAAGGCAATCTTGAGCCTAGAGGATTCCTCATCTGCTATCAGCCCCAACAAGACTAGGCATCCTCACAATCAACTAGCAAAAAGCAAGACATCTGACCCTAAGCCAGTTTTGTACTGGCCCCAGAATGCTTTCCAGCTGTGGAACTAGCTTTTCCTTTAGTCTCCTGACAATCAGATAGTCAACAAATAATTATTAACAACTACTATGTGCCAAGCACCTAGAGAACAGCAGTCCATTATCGCCACCTAATATCTGAACAATGATTGTGTACTCTATGAATACAGTTTACTCCATGACATGGAGACACACATGAAGCCATTCAAATCCCTTCCATCCATCTTAGTCTATAGCTCCAGAGGGATTATCAAAGAAATTATAAAGTCTGAGAATATAGGAATAACAAACTCAGTTTCTCCTATTCTCTCACAAAACAAAATACTTCTGTGACCTCAGATGTGACCATCCGGGTGTCCTCCAATTCAATTCTGACACCAGGTACCTGGAGATAGTGTCAGATCACACGGGTTGAGGTCTCAGTCCCACCAGACTCCTCCACCCCTTCAGATGCCAATCGCAAGCTCCAGGTTGTTTGACCTGTTCTTCTGATCTACCAGCTGTAAATCAGGGTTCCCATGACCCCCTTTTTGGGTTCAATTAATTTGCAACAGTGACTCACAGAATTGTGGGAAACACTTATGTTGACCAGTTTATTATAAAGGATATTACAAAGGGTATAGATGAAGAGGTGCATAGGATGAGGTATGGGAGAAGGAGTACAGAGCTTCCCATGCCCTCCCTGGGCACCCCACCCTCCAGGAACGCCCATATGTTCTGCTATACAGAAGCTCTTTGAATCCTGCCCTTTTGTATTTTTATGAAAACTTCATTACAAAGGCATGATTCAATAAATCACTGGTCACTAGTGACAACTTCAGCCCCTCTCGTTCCCCAGGTAAGTGGTGGGTACGACTGAAAATCCCAACTTTCTAATACCCTTTAGTCTTTCTAGGTGACCAGTCCCCATCCTGAAGCTATTGAGGTCTGCCAGCCACCAGTCAATTGATTAGGATACAGGCAGACACTTATCACCTGAAAGATTCCAAGGAGCAAAGTGGCAATCATTACAATAAAAATATTTACATGGCACATGTCTACGTGCCAAGCACAATTCTAGGCATACAGTACAGTAATTCATGTTCACAACAACCCGCAATAGAGGTATCATTTACACTCTTGCCTGCGTAGACTGTGCGCCCCTTGAGGATAAGGATTACAGCTGGTCTCTCACTTCCAGTACAATGCAGATGCCCCCGGGGCACTCGGTAAACATTTAACGAATGAGTGAACCCTGCCAGGAAAGATAGTGCTGGGGAACGTAAAAGAGAGCTTTCCCAAGACTGGAAGGAAACAATGAATGTGAAGGTACTTTGCGAGCTGTAATTTCTTCAATGTAAGGGATTCCTTTTCCATCATTTCCCTTCCTTCTTCCCCCTCTCTGGATCAACGTACAGGTTCTGAGAAGAGACGGAGGTGAATAGCAAAAGGGAGGGGAAACGAGTAATCTGATGAAACCACGAAAAGGGAAAGGAAAACGTATGTACGTCATGATAAAATAGCAAAGGGAAAGATAGTGGAAGGTACGGAAAAAGCATGGATTCATGGTCCAAACTCCGTGTCACCTAACTACGTCACCCAGCTCTGCCACTGACTAGCTACGCATTCTTAGATAAGCCCCGCTCTTCCTGAGCCTTGCCTCCTCATTTGCAACACCAGGATCTTTTCTCCTTTAGGGAATTCTTGTGAGGATAAAATGAGATCCTAGACTTCGAAGCGCGTTGTAAACCAATAAGGGCTTTATAAACGTGCGCTGTTTTTAATTAGTCATACACTGTAAGGCTGGGAGCCATATACCTAGCTGCCAGCCTTGCCTACCTCTAACTCATCATGTGACCTTTACAAATTGCAAAAGCTGCGACTATCCGAGCAAGGCCTCACAAAATATCCAGTGCAATGCTCTCCATTTTGCAGATGGGGAAACCGAGGCACAGAGCCTTAAGCCAATTCACAAAGCCAACAGGAGGCGGACCCTGGACAAGACCTCGGGTTTCCTGACTCTTACATCAAGGCTGTTTCCCCTGCACCAGCTCCCTCTGTCCAGGCCTGTTTCCACTCGGTAGAATGAGGCGACCTGCCTCAGTAATGCCTGCGACAATAAACCTCCGGCACTATGTAAACTGCGGAGCACTGCGCAAATGCACCCCGCTCCGAGGGGAGGGCTCCGGGGCTGACAGGCCGCCGCTCTGCCTCTGGAGCGCCCCATTCCCGCCTCCACCCCGGCCCCGGCCCCGGCGCCGCAGTGGCCCGCACACGCTCCCACGCCGCTCTCCGGCCTCCTGCGACCCGCGCTCGGCCGCAGGCAACACTCACTGGAGCAGATTAGGGACATGGCGCCGTTGCCGCGCTCCCAGGCGCCACACGCCGGACTCCGGGACTGGCTTCTGAGCCTCCGCGAGCCACTTCCGGTCCCCCGCTGCTGCCGGGACTGCTCAGCTGCGAGCTGGGAGCCGCCAGTCGAGCGATGCTCGCGTAGCGCTTCACGTGGGAATGGGGACAGCCGCGCGCCACTGCCTCCAGCACCTAACGGAAATAGACCTTTCCCAGAATGCAGCCGGGCAGGAAAGGGCCCGCCACGAACACTCGGTTATTTCCGGATTGACTCGGCTCGTTCCGTAAAGCGCCCGGGGATTGGCGGGGGCGTCGGAAGAGAGGAGACTGGAAACTACATTTCCCATGATGCAGTGAGAACTTAAAACCAAAGCAATTGGCCAGCACTTGTTTTGACAACTGTGCGGCACTGTGTCACGGGACCCTGGTCTTTGAAACCTTGGTGTGCGCGAGAATTTCCCAATTTCCCATTGTTAAAATGCAGATTCCTCGGATCTGCGTAGACAGACTGCGCCCCACGCTATTCTAAGTCAGGTGTTTCTCGGGCCACCCTTTAAGAGACACTGCTGGATGGCCTGGTGTTAAAAATACAGAGGCAGATGGGTACAGGAACTAAGAAAACGGCTAAGACAGCGTTTTGGTCCTGACTACTACCGTTTCGCTCTGTGATTTGGGGCAATTCACATTGGCTTCCCTGCCTTTTCTTCTTTGTCAAAAGACAAAATCACAACAAATTTAGTTTAAAGTTTTTTGTTTGTTTTTGTTTTTTTTTTTGTTTTTTTGTTTTTGTTTTTGTTTTTAAGAGACGGACTCTGGCAATGTTGCCCAGGCTGGAACGCAGTGGCTATTCACAGGTGCAATCGTAGCAATCATGGCTATCACAGGTGCATCCTGGAACTCCTGGGCTCAAGTGATCCTTCTGCCTCAGCCTCCAGAGTAACTGGGACTTAGGGTGCAATTCTATAAAATTGGGCAGCGCCTTACACTATAAAATATAATGGTTGTTCCAATGAGCTGAACAGAGGAGCTTGGTTTTTTAGACAGAAAAGGACTGAGGAAAACAGAAACAGAGAACAAAAATGGGATTGGTCATTTGGTAATCTCAAAATTACTTTTCTTGTAAAGGTTAAAGTGGAGGGTTCTTCTTTATCATGCCATGTAAAACTTGCCTGTTTGGGAATTTAGCTCTCCCCGCCAACACACACGCACACACACACATCACACACACACACACTCTCTCAGAAGGTCATAAAGATCTTAGTTTCAGCTCATTGGTGTGGAACTTCAGCAGGACTCTTTTTAGCTTGGTCTGTTAGGCCTAGCGCAAGAGCTCAGTCCAAACCAATGGCCTCCTATAAATTTATTTCGTATTTTCTGTTTCTCTTCCAGCTCAGATAGTGTATGATTCTTTGTGAATATCTGTAAGATAAGATACTCTCAGGAATCATGAAAAGACATGTGGTGTGGACTATAAGGTATCAAGACAAACGGGCAGGATGAACAGGATGTGTGAGTGAGAGGGACTTTGACAGGTGGGCAGTATTCAGAGGAGAAGGAGAAGGAAAGGCATTCCAGAAGGAGAAACAATGTAAGCAAAAGCTTGGAGAGAAAAATAAAAGTTAGAGGTACAAAAGGTAGTATGGCATAGTGGCCAAGAGCATGGACTCTGAAGTCAGACTGTGTGCCCAAATCCTAGCACCACCCAGGTGATTGACTGTATGAACTTCTCTATGCCTTAGTTTCCTCATCTGTAAAACAGAGGGAGTGATGACAGGGGTAGAACTAACTCGCTGAACTCTTATGAGGAGTTAATATGCAAAAGGACATTTCATCTCTCTCTTGCACCAACAAAGTAGCTTGCCACTTGTTCCTTGCTTCCAGCCTGGCCTCCTCCTCCTAATCTACTTTCCACAGAGCAGCCAGTGATCCGCTTTGAATGAAATATGGATTCATGTTATTCCCCAGGCATTTCATTCATCCAACAAATATTGATTGGGTACTTCCTATGTGCCAAGCCCTATTCTAAAAACTGGAGATAGAAAAGGTCAACAAGAAAGACAGTTTCGGCCGGGCGCGGTGGCTCAAGCCTGTAATCCCAGCACTTTGGGAGGCCGAGACGGGTGGATCACGAGGTCAGGATATCCAGACCATCCTGGCTAACACGGTGAAACCCCGCCTCTACTAAAAGAATACAAAAAACTAGCCAGGCGAGGTGGCGGGTGCCTGTAGTCCCAGCTACTCGAGAGGCTGAGACAGGAGAATGGCGTGAACCTGGGAGGCTGAGCTTGCAGTGAGCCGAGATCCGGCCACTGCACTCCAGCCTGGGCGACAGAGCGAGACTCCGTCTCAAAAAAAAAAAAAAAAAAAA